GAAGGGGACCCTTGCCCTGCCACCATACAAGCTGAGCAAAACTCAGCCTGGCCAAGCCCCCACCCGCCCTGCACCCACCACACACACAGATTCAGGGAAGAAGATGTTGTCACCTGCAATCCAGTGTCTCTAGCTGTGCCCAGACCTCTGGAGGCATCCAGGACGGGCAGCAGGAGTGGGGGAAGCAGACCAGAGAGAGACGGGTCAGGGCAGGCATGTGCTAGGCATGGGCCGGGGCAGTGGACGAGACAAAGGAGGCACCGGCCCTTCTCCAGGAGCCCAGCGGCTGAGCTCAGCCCCAGACACGGCCTCCTGGGAGCCTTGAACAACAGACGGGGCAGAAGCTGGGTCACTAGCAAGGATCCTGCCCTTCGTACTTTCTGGGGTCAGAGAATATGACTGTGTAATTCTGATTGAATGTTTCCCAAATTCCTTTTGTTCCCAAAACATTTGGCCCACAGGGTTCTCTGAAGTGGGCCCACGGTCACATTAGAGCAAGGCGCGCTGCCGGCGGTACCACTTAGTAACTTTGTGGTGACCTAAGTACTTAGTAACTTTGAAAAGTCTTCCCCATCCTTAGAACCCAGCATTTGATTTGTCTGACTCATCATTTCCCTACCAGTGTTGTAAAACACAAGATTTGGGGAAAGCTGCCTTAATTCAGCTTCCAGAGCCAGCGGAACGCAGTGAGCTTTGAACATGAGCTTTGAACATGGGATCCTGAATCCACTACTTCTTAGCCCTGAATCCGTGGGCGAGCTGTTTTAATCGGCTCGCGCCTACTTGCTGTCTCGTGCGGCTGTCCAAATGCTTGCCCTATGCCAGGCCAGCTGTCTCTGTACCCACAACTCTGAGTTCACTTCCACATCGTGGGCCCGTGGGAGCAGAACAGGTGACCGAGGTCCGGTGCCTGGCCCAGTGATGGTGTTAGTAGAGGAGTCACTCGCTTTACGGTGTTATTATTCTCTCGAGACGGGGAAGGTCGTCCACACAAACATGTTCCCGGCCAGTTGCACCCTGAAGCCCAGCGGCTGCCAGGACGATGAGGGAGGATGAGCGGCCTCGACCACTAGAAAGGAAGTCTGGCTGAGGGAAATAGAAGTCACAAGTTCTGTGATCACTTCAATGGGGGGTTTGGAGAAAACTGACTCAAGGCTGAGAATCAGCATGCCGTGTCCTTTGTTTTATAAATAGAATAATTGTCATCTTTATTTTCCCCCCAGCTTTACTGAAGCATGATTGACAAACAAAATTTTAAGATTAAATTTAAAGTGTACAACATGGTGATTTGATATATGTATTCATTGTGAAACGATTCTTCCCTTGAGTTAATTAGATTAGCACATCCATCGCCCCTCAAGTTCACCTTTAGGGGTGTGTGTGTGTGTGTGTGTGTGTGAGAGAGAGAGAGAGAGAGAGAGAGAGAGAGAGAGAGAGGACACTGAAGTCCTACTCTCTTTGCAAATCCCAATTATACAATGTATTGTCATCCGCTGTAGTGGTCGTCATGTTTTACATCAGATCCTCAGATCTTATTCATCATACAGCTGGAAGTTTGTACCCTCTTACCAATCTCTCCCTGTTTCCCCAATCTCCCAGGCCCTGGCAACCACTTTTCTACTCTGTTTTTATGAATTTGTTTTTGGGGGGTTTTGAGGGTTTTATTTTTGTTTTTGTTGTAGATTTCACTTATTTTATAACATGCAGTATTTTATAACATGTCCTTCTGTGAGTGGCTTATTTTACAATATAATACTCTCAAGATCCATCTACGTTGTCACAAATGACAGTATTTCCTCCTTTTTTAAGGCTGAGTAATACTTCATTATATATATATATATACACATATATAATAGAATATTATATAACTTATATAGCTTCTTTATCCATTCATCCATCAGGGGACACTTAGGTTGTTTCAATGTCTTAGCTGTTGTTGTGTATAATGCTTCAGTTAACATGAGTGCAGCTATCACTTCAAGATAATGGTTTCACTTCCTTTGGTTCTATACGCAGAAATGGGATTCCTCGATCCTATTGTAGTTCCAGTTTTAAATTTTTGAGGGCCCTCTTTATTGTTTTCCACAGTGGCTGCACCAATTTATAACCCTATCAACAGTGCACAAGAGTTCCCTTTTCTCCAATATTTACTTTTTGTCTTTTTGATAATAGCCATGCTGACGGGCATGAGGTAAAATCTCAGTGTGGTTTTGATTTGCATTTTTCTGATGATTAGTGGTGAACACCTTTTCATGCACTTGTTGGCCATTCGGCACTCTCTCGATAAAGGGTTTGCTTCTATCTATTTCTCCTACCTTGTATAAAGATTTGGGTGATTTCTTTTTTCTGAGCTCAAAACGAATGGGGAAAATTAAGCCTGGCCCCAGGGAATGCACAGTGGGAAGATGAGGGGGAAATGGGAGCTGAGGAAGGAGTAGGTAGGCAGGAGGAGGCCCTGGCTGGTGACAACTGAAAGCATGAAGAAATAGCTCCCAGGATTTAAGGGAGCATGCCTTCTCTTTCAGCTTGGAGGCAGAGGAGACAGTGCTGCTTCCTGACAGGCTTGGGAAAAATAAATGGCTCTGCAGGTCTCCGAAATTTGATTTCATTTCATTTCAGCCAGAACCACAAGACCTATAATTTCATACGCTTACCCTTTGTGTAAGGAAGTTCATTTCTTAAGTTCTGTCAGAGCAGCCCTGAGGCCCATCAGTGGTTCTGCATCACTGAGCGAGGATGGCACCAAATCTGTCGAGTCAGCGTCACACATCCTTTAGGACCATGAGCCCAGGGTCTGAGTAGAATTGAACCCTGCACAGAGCCGGCCCGCCAGGGATGAGGCAGCCCTATAGTCCAACTAGCAAATAGGCTGCCACATTTGGTCCTCAATAATACTATCCACATTTTAATTGATTGATTGATATAGTGTGCTTAAGGGCACGTGTCTGGATGCATCTACTGAAAAAGAAGAAAAGAAAAATCATGACATGAAAAATCCAAAAAGAACTTGGCAGGCAGGAATACCCACGCCAGAGCGGAGTCTTGCCCCACGTGGCTGAGACAGGACAGGGAGGGAGAACAGGGGCCTGGGCCTGTGCTGCCTCGTGGCCGGCGGACCACCTCCAGCATCTCTGGTCTCCCCACTTCCATCAGAAGGAAACCCGAGCAGTACAGAAGGACCGCGTTATTCACCGGAGCGTTGACACGGGCATTTGCGGGTTGATTGGGACACTTGGGCTTTTACTTATTTGTGATGGACAGCATAATAATCTCCTCAGCGGAGTGTGCTGAATTTCAAAGTGCTTTCACAAACCATTCTGAGAGACTCTGCTGGAAGCTACTTGGGAGGTCCCTGGTTTTCCCCATTAGCCAGTGTTAATTGTTCGGAGAAACATTTCTCTTCTCTCCCTCAGTCTTTTTTTGCCAGTCTGTGCGCTCTGCTTTCTGGCATAATCCAACCTACATGTGATAAATGCATGCCTCTCAGCATTCAGTTTTGCATTTCAGGAAAAATAACACTAGCTCTGAACCAGCCCAAAGTGCAAGGATACATTTTTGGGCCAGAGAAACTTCCTGGGACTGTGAGAGCATCATGAAGGAGACTCCCGGCCACCTTGGGGAGACCCTCTTCCTGCCTCTGCAGCTCCTTCACCCACAGCTTCCCCCATGTGCATTTTTCTGAGCTGCTTTTCTTTAAAATCTAGGGATTCTTTCAAGGCATAACTGACCCTGTCACCTCTCCACCCTCCAGTTTCTTGCCCAGCTGAAGCTCATGGACTACAGCCTGCTGGTGGGAATCCACGACGTGGAGAGAGCTGAACAGGAAGAGGTGGAGTGTGAAGAGAATGATGGGGAAGAGGAGGGGGAAAGCGACGGCACCCACCCTGTCGGAACCCCCCCTGACAGCCCCGGAAATACTCTCAACAGCTCCCCGCCCCTGGCTCCCGGGGAGTTTGATCCAAACATCGATGTTTATGGAATCAAATGCCATGAAAGTAAGCTGAGTTACTCGCAGCTCTTTTCACTGCGGTTTGGTTTGTGCGTTGTTATCTACCAGTAATCACAACCCCAGTTAAAAGGTAGTGTCCTGCAAGCCTCATTCTCGAGTTCAGAGTCCCAGTAGATTGATTTGGGGACAAGAGGATGTTAAAGGTAACTATAATCTCTGGTTTTGGAGTATAATGCGACGAGGTCCTTGAATCTTGTGATGTCAAGGGAATGGAGTGAAACGCAAACTATGTAATATAAACAACACACATATACACGCACTTACATACAAATATAAGTGACACATATAAGAAATGTTTTTAATTTTGTTTTTTTCTGAACTACCTCTCTTTTATGTGACTCTAAAGTGTCATGGATCTATCCTGAGCTAGGTACATACGTGGTCCGCCCCGAACCTCACGTGGACATTCTGTAGGGCAGTCACCTCAACTCGGCCAGCCCTTCCCTCCCAGGAGCGCTGCAGCCAGCCCAGGCTCTGGGATAAATCCCTGATTTGCCGCTGTGTCTGTCCTCTGCTCCCCACCTTCAGCCATTAAGGGGTCTGTGGCCCTCTTCTCTAGCGTGGGATCCATCTTAACCCTCGACATCTGGGCAATTAGATATTTGAAAGAATATTACCTTCTACTATAGCTACTTATATGTGAGAAAAAAATATCTTAGAGACATAAGAGTGGGCCTCTCTTTATTTTCGTTTTTTTTTTTTTAGTAATAAAAAGTATGATTCGTCATTGTTTTTTTGAAAAACCCATGTAGCATATTAGCCAAGTGAGATTGAGTTGTTTCTTCAACACAGAAAATCAGGTATAATCAAATGTACTTTTCTTATTTTTCAGAATTGAAATGGCATCATATTTGTGGAAATATATAGAAGACAGATATTATACATAATACATGCCTTTGTCCAGTTTTGATACTAGATCCAATGAGAATTAAGAACTAGCCTCTAATTAGGAATCAGCATCTAGTAATAGAAAAAGATTAAGTAGCATAATTACTTCTACTTGTTTTCTAAAGTATTTTAAAAATAGATTTTTTTTCTGTATACCAAATCAATACATGATCATTAAAGAAAATGCAGATTAACAAAAAATAAAAACACTCAGTCTCACCCTCAGACCTCCACTGTTAATATCCGGAAGCTGTGTTTTTTCTTTACTTTTTAAATTGAGAGACAATTGGATGCAGAGTTAAGCTGTTTCATAGGGATATGTGGGAGTTACGTGGACTCTTCAAAAGCCTCAGTTGCCTTTGTGTTTAAACTCCTTCAGCTCCCCCCTGAACCCGTCGCCCTTCAGCGCTTCGTTCCCCACTGGCAGCCTGTTCCTGTCCCTGTGGTCATTCATGCCCAACTTTGCTCTCCTCCCTTTACAGACTCGCCCAGGAAAGAGGTGTACTTTATGGCAATTATTGACATTCTGACTCATTATGATGCAAAAAAGAAAGCTGCCCACGCTGCAAAAACTGTTAAACACGGCGTAAGTATCTCCGTTTTGTTTCCTTCTCAGCTTCTGGGCCCTTGACGTTGTCTGTCGTGCTGGGGCCAGCTCCAGGCTGCCCAGAGTCCTTCGGCGGTTCTTGTTCCCTGCAGGGGGGCTGAGTGCAAGATTCAGAGCCAACAAATGGCCATGCTAGTGCCGCTCCCTTCAGCTGCCTAGGCTTTTGGCAAGTCACTTAGACTCAGCTGTGTCCCTCCTTTTTACACACCGGGGATATTCATAGACACGTGCATCAGTAGAATGTTGTACAAATTCTTTTTTGTTTGAAAAATGTTTCAGAGAGAAAAGTTCTGAAGATAGTTGAGTGTTTTAATATGACATGTTCAGAACTGAAGCACTATTCTCTGCTTCGAACACTTCCAAAATATGCAGGGTGCTATATTTCTTTTCCTACAGTGAATTGTATTTTTCTCTGTCACAGAACTCTTTCAAGTGCAAGGTCAAAGTTTAATCATCTAAAGTCCTTACCCTTGTGCTTGCTCAGAATTATCACCATTCCAGGCATATGTTACCTTGCTGAATCCCCATGACAGGCCTGAGCAGGGCACTAGCGTTTCCCTGCTTAGCAGTTGAAGAAACGGAGGAAGAGCACTTAAGTGGTAACTTGCCAGGCCACACCACTAGGAAGTGGCAGAGATGGGGATTGCTCCCCAGGACCTAGCCCGCCTCCTGCTCCGTGTTAGTCCCATGCCCCTGCCCCACCAGCGAACCCCACCTGCCTGGTTGAAGTTCACAGGTGGTGGATATCCATTACGCTGTGTTGTAGGGATCCATTTGGCTTCTCAGGTGCACTAAACACAGATGGACGCCCACCCTGGCCTGTTCACACTGCAGCAGAGGTGCGAACAAGCAGACTGTGTAAAGCCAACTAAGATACAACAGAACATCAGCCTCTGTTCAAGCCTCTTTTTCTCTTTTTTTAAAACCAAACAGGCTGTCTTTCCAGCAACGGAATCAGCCTAAAACTATACTGCATTTGCCGCAGAAATATTTCGCTCACATCGTCACCAACTATTCACGGTGACCCGCTGACCGAGTCACAGACCCTGAACCAATGAGAGAGGAGGGTGCACATTTGCTCTCACCCCACTGCTGGCATCGCAGTCTTCTGGGTCCCATTCGTAAAAACGCGCATGCCAGATTTCTCTGATTCTGAGTCCACTTCAGAAGTCTGGGCGAAGGGTCTCTCAAATGTAGACTCTGGGATTATTCTGATGCCTACCTCTGGGGGAAAACCACGGGGATCCAGGTTCCCGGCAAGGAGAACATTCCGATGAAAACTCTCGTAAGCCAAAATGATGTCAGGTGAAGAAGCAGCGGCCACTAATGTATGTGGAAAACTTTTTGAGTGTCCCCAGACTCCGAAAAACTACTTACCACATCATACTAGATACGCTTAATTACATCCAGTTCCACGCTAAGCACAACACCCTTATGAGCTCTTGGGATTCTCTGACACCTTAGGACCCATCTTGCTAACGGGCAAACAGAGTCAATCGAAATAAAGCGCAGATGCTCAGACACAGCTCGAAGCTCTGGGCTGGATGCCGAGATGCTGAGTGTAGTCCCAGGGGAGGGGCCTCTCCGCGTGCACGCCGCCTCTGTAAGGGCTAGCTGCAGAAACGGCGCTGAGCTATTTTCATTTGTCACTTCTTCTGGTAAAAGTAAAAATCCTCTTCGGATTTCTTTTGCTTAGCAAAAGCAAGTACTAAGATGGGCCTTTTGTAAAAGCGAAGAGTCGTAACCTGCGCAGGCTTTCGAAAAGCGGTGGATACCGGTATTGCAAAGACAGACCTGGGTTGGAGTCTCTGTTTCAGCTTTCCGGCTGTGTGAGCTTGAGGAAGCACTTTGAAGCTTGGGTTCCCTCAGCTGATAAGGGGGTCCTAATGCCTTGTTCGTGGGATTCCGTAGGGGGATATATGAGATGAATGGGCCGAACCCCGGGGAGATGCTGCGTGTTTGTCCCCCTAACCCTCCGCAAACCTGCCGTACAGTTCTATTCTATGTGGAACTGGAAATGTCCCACGGCAAACGCGCCTCTATTTTCATCTCCCCTAAGTCACCAGCTAAGCTCCACATTTTACCGGATGGCCTAAGATCGTGTGCAGTTTGCAGGAACTCGGCAAAGGCCTGTTGTGTGGCACTGAGGCTGGGAACCGTCGTCAAGGCCCGGGCTCCTCCGCGGAGACCCCAGCAACCAGCCATGGAAGTGACGAGCTCCCAGATGAGCACGGGTGCCCGAAAGTAGCGCCTGGTGACTTAGTAAAACTCTGATCTTCCCCTTTGCAGCTCAGCAAACCGCCCAGTGACTACTCTGGGTCTGCTCGCCTCTCGAGCGGTTTCGTTGGCGGGGGCCTGGCAGCCCTGCGCCAAGGAGGTCTCTGTGAAGGGGAGCAGTGGCACCTCTCTGCCGCGTGCGTGAGGGAAGCCAGCCCCTGCCCTGTGGGGGGACGCGGGCGGCAGCCTGTGTCTCTCTTGGCTGATGGGCTGGGAAAGGGCCAGGGCCGCCGACAGGGAGGCGACTGTTGCTGCGGCTGCTTTGTCATTGTCATCGGACTGTCCCTTTAGCCAAATGTTGATGTTTGTGTCATTCTCAAGTATCTCTAATCTGCCGTCTTGAATAACGAAAGTGTTGTCCCCATGGCTCCGATTGTAGGCCACCCAGATTCCACTGTTTGATGGGAACATCCCAAATATGGCTCTTTTGATATTTTTTTTTTTCAGTTTCAGGCGTCACAGGTCATAGCGTATGTGATAACAGCACCTGCTGCTCCTGCCGCTTTTTGCCTCATTGTCACTAGGGGTTCCTAAGAACCTTGATTATTCAGATACGCTATCCAAGATATTCTGAGTTAGGTTTTAAGAGCAGAGGCTGCACAGATTTTAAAATTATTAGCTTTCTATCCAGCTGCAAGCAGAAATTGCTGTTGATATACTGAGTAGTAATTACTTCAATATTCCTTTCCTTGAAAACTACCCAGGCTGGCGCGGAGATCTCCACCGTGAACCCGGAACAGTATTCAAAGCGCTTTTTGGACTTTATTGGCCACATCTTGACGTAACCTCCCGCACATCCTCGGACGGACACGACGAACATGGGAAGGACAGGGGTGGCTTCAGTGTAGGAAACGTGAAAACCAAACTCAGTGAAGCACACCTCCTCGTTTACGTCTGCAGGCCAAGATGACTGATTCGGGGGCTACGCGCTTTAACAGCTACCTGATATTTCCCAGCATCATTCTAGCTATTTCTGACTTGTGTGTGTGCGTGTGTGTGCGCGCGCGTGTGCGTGCGTGTGCAAATGTGTGCGTGTGCATCTTCGAAATTAATTAATTAAGGAAAACTGATCAGCTTCAGTCAGAGTGTGTTTAGGCAACAGCCCTCTGATTCCAACTGTGGACAAACGAATGAATGAATGAATGCGCACATGCGGGGGGAGGGGGCGAAGGAAATGCATGTCGGACCAACCATGTTGGCATCACACGATAAACTGTGGATCAGTTTATTTTTGGGAGCTGAAAGATGTGAGACAGTATTCATAATAATAATGAAGATAATAATAATGATGATAATAATAATGATGGTGATTAAAAGAAAAAAACAACCACGAATGTTACACTCCTACCACGCACGCTGACACTCCTTAATAGTTGTACCCCGAGCCCCTGGCACTAGATGGAGGAGTGCTGGCACCTCCCACGTGTCCTGGCTCAGGGTTCTGCCTCCGCTGCGTGGGGACTTTTAGGGTCTGGGGACAAATGCCCCTCCTCCAGCAAGAAGCTGATGCCCCTGGTGATTCTATCTGTGCGTTTTCACCTCAGTAAATACATCCAGGAAAACTGCTTACTTCTCTGTTCTTGCCTGGAGCTTCTTCACTGTTACACTCTTATGTTGCAACATAGGAATTAATGCTGAAAAAATAAAAATAAAGCTTACCTGAAAAGTGCATAGTTTGGGGCAATGGTATCTACATCTCCCGTGGTGGGAAGGCAGGCAAAGCATTAGAACTCTCAATTCTCCTGTTACCGATTGCAAATCTGAATTATAAGATGCTTATGTTTGACCGTTGTTTAAACAGTGGTATTTTGTTACGAATTATCCCTTTAACGGAAACCCTCAATGTTACTGTTTACATTATCAGGAAAGCAGGGATATTTTTGAATCTAAAAATTTAATGTACAGCATGTGATTTTTGAAGTTTACATGTAAAGTCATTTTACAGTGTAGGTGAAATAATGTTTGTCATATTTTGAAATGTATCCTGCAGTCATGCTTTGGGGTGAATGTTTTATTCAAAGTACATGGTAGGCAGTCTTTTATAATGAAAGGATAAGGATTGTTTTGTTTCCTCCAGATGTGCGTTTATCAACATAATGATTTAAAAAAAAAAAATTAACCCCAATCTGGTCATATAAGTTCATTGCCCTAAACTGTGCTGATTGTGTTTAATCAAGTTATAAATTTCCAACATCGATCATGTATTTACCAACTTTCCGGCATTTTCTGAAAGGCGTCAAGCTAAAATATTAGACTTGCTTAGAATAGGTTATCAACTTATACACTGTGCTAAAGCTGTGCCTTTGAAATTGAGATGATTTTTGTAGGCAGTTTCAGGAAAGAAAAAAAAAGTCTACCCTTCAATAATTACTTATCACTCAACAAATACCCCCTGCCTACCGCCTCCTCCAGTAACTTTACTTCAGGTCTTAACAAAACTAATTGTGCCCATCGTATGCGGGTTTACTTCAGAAAACACGAGGGGATAGCAAATCTGTCTTTGGAAGCCAGCAGCCACACCATCCTACTATCATCTCCTGACCACATAGATTTGTCATCCTCCGCAGATGATGTTAACACCGCTGTGACGTAGTTGTCCAAATCGGTAGTTTTTGCATTTGAATTAATCAAGACTGTGATTTGGCTCCCCTTCATCCCCCCTACTATTCATTGTGGCATCCAGTCACTTTCAATGTTCCGAAGTTATACTGTAATTTCTTTGACCCAAGACGATAAACGTGAGACCCTGAAGTAAAGATAAGGTACACATACATTATTTGAGTAACTATTTCCTTTGTGGCCAATCTGTGTATGCTTTTAGAAGTTTACAAAATGCTTTATTTTTGTCTGTAACAGTCTCTGTCATTCATTTCTGTCGATGAACTATTTGGACAGAGTGAGCAAGTTTGCCTAGTGCTAACAATACACTCCAGTCATGAGCCGGGCTTTACAAAATAAAGCACTCTGATGACTTACAAGGTGGATCCTTTGTTCCTCTCTTGATTGTGTTTCTCTGTTTTGCAAACAAATTGTAAATACCTGGTACAAAGAGGATCTTTAGTCCTGGAAGAAGAAAAAGCGAAATTGAATCTTCTCATTAACTAGAGCTTAGCTTTCAACCTGTAAACTATTTAATTAGTAAACAATGCAAACTTCCAGGACAAAATTGACTTACTGCAAGACGGACTGGCAAAGAAAATAAATCTCTTCAAGGAATACCCTAAAGTATATCATTTTATTTTTAATTTTTATCAACCATAGTTCCGTGTCAGCGTTTCTTGAAACTTTACTGGGATACCATTGATGAATAAAGGCTTTCTTACAGCATTCCATTGTCACTGGTGCCAGGTTTGCAAACACAGTTCAGCTGTAGCACTTGTGTTGAAAATGCATATTTGTTCTAATGCAATTGATATATGAGGGAATGATGGGAGCACAACGCACACTTCCCATATACTTGTGTGCTCTGGTCCAAAAGGAATATTAGATGAACAGAGGAGACTGCACCCAGCTGCACTGCACTGTGCCACGTAGGAATACACAAGACACACACCCCTCAAACATCTGCCAGCGACCTCAGTTCGACATGTGTTAGGAGTCACACTGGTCCGTATCTGGCGTTAACAACTTCCATCTGACTTCAAATCACTTTTCTGCCTCCACTTTACAGTAAACCAGGAGCCGCAGCCCTTCTGACACCCACTATCACAGGCACCCATAAGGTCTTCTTCAAGATAACCTGTCACAGTTGTGGTATTTATGTATTCCCTGGCTCTTTGGCATGTTTAAAACTGTGCTACTGTTTTTATTAGGTTCCCTTTATTTTTTTTTTTCATACATCACTGATGAAGTGTCTGGGTGTCGTGCCCTTAGTTCTATTACTCCTCTGATCTCTGTAGTTTTTATTGTGCAATTTTGCACAGAGCAGTGAGTTTTAGGAACATGCATGTTGCATTACACAGAACTGACCGGTCAGCAGGGACTTTAATTTGGTTTTCTTTGTGGACAGTTGCAATTGTAGACATTTATTTTCATTTTGATTATTTAACTTCCTGGACTGAATTCACATTAGTCCCAGCAAACTGGTTATTGCTAATTCATAAAAGAACAAAAGTTGATATGAAGCGTTAAATCCTGAACGTGACACTTTTGGAAATAGTGGTCAAGGGTTAAATTAAGAGATTAAGAACTGTATATAATGAAGTAGAAATGTATGTAATATCTAACTGCATGTAATGAAGTGGGGTAGAGACGAGAAGGCAAAGCCAAGAGGCTGAACGTAGAATTAAACTCTGAAGTTCTTAACATCGGTGGACTCTGCAGGACCCCAGCACCACTGCAGGTAACCTTTCTAGGGATTTTTAATTAGCACACCCACTAGGATGGATATAATTTTAAAAAGACAGACAATAGTGAGTGTTGGTGAAGATGTGGAGGAATTAGGACCCTCAAACATTGTTGGTGGAAATGTAAAACAGTACAGCCACTTCAAGAAACAGTCCGGCAGTTACTCAAACGGTGACACGTGGGTGGCCATGGCTCAGGAATTCATTCCACTCCTAGGTATATACCCCAAAGAAGGACTCATTCCTTCTGGAAGCCCAAGGAAAATCCATTTCCTGCTTTTTCTAGCACCTAGAGGCTGCCTATATAATGGGCTTTTGGCTCCTTTAATTTTCAAAGCCTACCAGTGTAACATCTTCAAGTACTTTGGGCTTTTGGCTCCTTTAATTTTCAAAGCCTACCATTGTAACATCTTCAAGTACACTCTCTCTCTCTCTCTCTCTCTCTCTCTCTCTCCATCTCTGCTTCTTTCATCACAATTCTTGATTGAATTAACTAGCAGTCTGTCTATTTTGTACATTTTTTCTAAAGAACCAGAATGTTTTGATTAATGGCCTTGATCTACCATTTTTCTGTTTTCAATCTCATTAATCTCTGCACTTATTTTTATTATATTTTAGTGCTTTCTTTTGGTATATTTTATTCTTTTTTATAGATTTTTGAATTGGGAATCTAATTCATTTTTATATTTAGTTTTACTTGATATCGGTTATGAAATTTTTTTCTGATCATTGCTCCTTACATATAGAAGTAATACACAATACACATAGATCAACGGAACAGAATAGAGAGCCCAAAAATAAATCCATGCCTATATGGTCATTTAATCTATGACAAAAGAGGCAAGAATATACAATTGGGTAAAGACAGTCTCTTTAAGAAATGGTGTGAGGAAAACTGGATACATAAAGACATGCAAAAAAGTGAAAGTGGACCACCTTCTCACCAAGAATGAACTCAAAATGGGTTAAAGACTTAAATATAAGACCCCAAACCATAAAACTTCTAGAAGAAAACACAGGGAGTAAACTCTGATATTGCTATTATATTTTTTTTTCTGACATATCTCCTCGGACAAGGGAAACAAAAATAAATAAATAAATAAACAAACAAATGGGACTACTGTACATCAAACTAAAAAGTTTTTGCACAGCAAAGGAAACCATCAACAAAATGAAAAGACAACCTACTGAATGGAAAAAGATATTTGCCTATGATAGATCTGACAAGGGGGTTAATATCCAAAATTTATAAAGAACTCCTACAACTCAACAACAAAAAAACAAGCAATCCAATTTAAAAAAAAATGGGAAGAAGGCCTGAATAGGTATTTCTCCAAAGAGGACATACGGATGGCCAATAGACATATGAAAAGATGCTCAAGGTCACTAATCATCAGAGAAATGCAAATTAAAACCACAATGAGATATCATCTCACACCTGTCAGATTGGCTATCATAAATAAATTAAAAAACAACAATTGTTGGCGAGGATGTAGAGAAAAGGGAAGCCTCATACACTGTTGGTGCGACTGCAAGTTGGTACAGCCACTATGGAAAACGGTCTGGAGGATCTTCAAAA